TGTTACCATATTAACTTCTTGAGTGCTGAGAAAGCAGCTTTCACAAGATTTAACATCAAGATTTCATTTCCATATAACTTTTTCATACAGAAGCAACAATAACAAAAAAAAATCCCAGTAAAGTTCCCCTAGGAGGACAACTAGTGCTCACCGCTAGTGAGAGGGTGAGCTAAGCTGCTGGCATCCTCACTGAAGCTGCTAGCATGTTTTCCCTTTAGGGGAGATGACACTCAGCCGGGAGAGGGTGAGAATCTCCAAGAGAAGGGCAGAGAAATCAGCCAAGAGTGAGATTCACCACAGCTTATCTGCTAACACCCACCATGGCAAACCAGCCCTGGTAAGAACTGCATTCCTCGTGTCAAGCAGAACAGCATGCTGTGATGTGGGCAGGGTCTGGTGTTGCCAAAAAATAATGTAAGTGCGTGGGAGAGAGCATCTATTTTTTTGTCACTGAATCAGGAAAGGGTCCAGCCTAGCCAAGCCCAAGGACAGACTCAGTCCCCATTAAGGAGGGTAAGCAGCCTGCAAAGATCTATTTCAAGCTTCTCCACCCTCTTCTTGGACAAGTCCAGCAGGTGCAACCTATTTTGACAGCAGAGTTGGAAATGAGGTTGGTCCCTCTTCTCATTGCTCCCACTTTTTCACACCTCCGCAGTCACACTGGGCACAGATCTGGATTCTGCCATCATTTTTAGAACAGTGCTAATCTAGAGATTTTCCTACTAGTCACACCAGTAGGAGGATAGAATAAAGCTCTGGGACACATGAAACTCTGCAGGTCTTTCCTTTTGGGAAGAAAAGTTAAATCTGTAACAGGAGACTGATAACCACTGTGTACCTGTTTGTAAACAGTGTGTTGCAGTCACTGTGCTCATGAGGTAGTAGCCAGAGCACCATGCTGTGTGTGTCTCCTACAATTAGCCATACCAGGCTGCAGGCAAGAGCAGAGGAGACAGAGGGAAGAAACAGGCAGTGCAAAGGTCATGGCAAACCCACAAGTCATTTGGCACAGCCCAGGTCTGTGGAAGGAAGGCTGTGTCCTCCCTGGAACTTATGGATGACCCTATCCCACAGCCACTGGAGAATTAAGTTCTCACTGTAGGCGAGCCTGCCTGTATCTTCAGAAAGGTCATCCTCTCTACAGATCTGAGGGTTGCAAACTCCACGTGTGCTTCAGCACAGCCCTGGCTGAAAAGAGTTGCACCTGTTCCCTCAGTCTGCAGATGCTGATGGGGTGAGGGTGTCTATCTGGGTAGTGGTGAGCACAAATCTGGCTCATATTTTACCACTGTCTGTCCCCAGAGCGTGTCATTGGGTATAAGTGGAATCCACAGTTACTGTAAGGCTCCTTCCCACTGCCAACAGAGAATAAACACACTCTTAGGGCTTAGGTGGATGAAAAAATTACTTGGTCTTAGCTACTTTCCTCAGGTTAACAGGCCTGCAGTGACTGCCTGCATGTCAGCCTTAACCCACAGTAAATACATGAGAAAAACTCATTGACTTCAGGTGCAGGAAAAAGATGTTGGTCCCACAACCTCACTGTGGTGACACACAGTGAGCTTCAAGAGATGATACTGTCTCTGAAGGAGACACAGCCAATATGCAGTAACTTGTAACTTCTGTCACAAGTTCTATGGTTTTGAACCCTGAACGTTCACCAAAACCATGCCCCATGGATTTGCACTGGGCCAGGCCTTAGACCCAGTGCCACAGGTCTGCAGTCAGAGTAGTTACTCCAGATGTGAGCTGATAGACCCAGAAGCAATACGTGGACCCTGTTCATGGTCTAGTTAGTTACTGCATGGCTCACCACTTACTAAGCTCAATTGAAAGGATAAAGCTGAAAAAGGTCTCTTCCTTAGCCAACCAGTACAAGGAATATAAATTGGCCCCTATCCCAGCAAGTCTTGCAGTATTATATCCTCGTTCTCAACTTTAGTACCTTGTTAAAATAGGAAAGAACATGAGGAGTCAATGAAGGTTGATGGCAGAGACACTGTCTAGTTGCCCTTACTTTCCTCAGGCATACAGCAGAAAAATCTTTAGATTCATGCTCATGCAGCAGCTGAGGATAACATATATTCTTTAGATGTGCTGAAAATTACTAACATCTCCTTCCTTTATTCGATTCCATCTGTATTTCCTGCTCCCCATGACCTCACCCTGCAATACAGGCTAGGCTCTCAAATGCTGACAGAAGGTGCAATAGTGTATATCAACTTACATCAACAGTTGGGTTTAGAAGCTTTTACCATACGTCGAGTTGTCGACACACCAGCATTGAAAGCTTCATCCATGAAACAGCCCATCCATACTTCCAGTCATACTTCTAGCTACTCATGCTGGAGAACACGAATCTCCACCGGCTAGGAGCCAGGGAGCAGGGAGCAGTGTATGAGATATAGGTACGGATCTCAAAAGTTTTATTGCATTCAAAACATGTTATTCTTGTGATAAAATAGGGGCAAATGTTCCTATCCCCATGCACTAAAATGCAGAGAGAGAGGAAGAGCACACTTCACGTCAAGAGTTTTAAGACTTTGCTCAGAAGAGCTTCCCAGAGAATATAAAAGCCTTCATAAGATGAACAGGGAGAATAGCTGAGCATTTTATGGGCACCAGAACAGAGAAAAGAACTGGCAGGGAATCTGTGTGCTGACAAAAGCATGTGTATCCGCATTCCTCCGCTGGAAGCAAAAGAACTAAATGGCCTCAATATGCACACAGTCATCTCCACATACCAAGAAAAAAAATATAGGTGAAAAGGATTATTACATTGAGACCACGCACACAGAGAGTATCTAATTTAAATTAAGGCAGGGATTAATGTCACCTTCTAGCATCTTACACCTAGACAAAAGCACCCCATTCTGAGTCAATTTACTCCCACTTCTAATGTTAATTAAACTCAGTTAGATGAAGCATTCCTCTTCCAGTCTGGCAGCTACTCCTGAGATATTCTTTAGAAAGAGAAGCTTAATGCTTTCAAAATAATTTGTTGGGCCAAAGCTTGCCTGGTGTTTTGCAGTTATGATGCAGAGAGGTAAAATATGTTGAATAAAAAAGCCCCTTTGTTAGTGCTAGGTTAAGTAGTGTACGCTGATCTGTTTCTTTAGCTACCGTTTTAATCCTAAAAAACAGTGGTTGGGGAAAAAATCGTTCTTTTGATTAAATATGAAAAAACCCCATTTATTGCATTTCTTTTGTGAATCTTTTTAGGTTTTACTGTTCTAAATTGCATGGACACTATATTTCTAGACAGGACAGTAAACTTGCAAACACATGGTAACTATGCCATACGAACTACATGCAACAGCAAAGTAGATGCAGGAGTGATTTTATGAAGCTCTTATGGTTCAAATATTTTGTCTCTATGTAACAGATCTGTTTGGAAGAGTTAGCAGTAATATGCTTCTTCTGCTATCAACCCAAAGGGATAACCCTGAAAATTGAGTGTGTGGGCCTTCAAACTGCAAATTAATACTGCAAATCCATAAAATAGGAACTGTGGCACCAGGAAATCTGTCTCTGATGCCTGTGAGTCATTTCATATGCCTTTTTTTTTTTTTTCCCAAGCAAATGCACAAAATTTAGGGTTTTAAACAGAAATACAGGAATTCCTTATACGAGTTTTAAAAGGATTCCTGCTCTAAAATGTTCAAAAGAAAAAATGACATTTTTGGCACTGCTGCATACATGCAGACTCAAAATTACCTGAAAGTATCCTTTCACTCAGCTCAGTCTTATATAGGTGCAAAGGGAAAATCAAACAAAAGTATTTTTGTTAATTAGAGATTCAATTAGGCCTCACATATATTCTGTACGTAATTTTTACTTTTGGTGTTTCTAATACATGCTTATTCACCCGCAAGGCAGAGACAGACTAAAGAGCTCATCGCTATTTTCTTGTCAATATGGTATTTGCAAGCTGAACAGTTCACTGACACCATATTTCAGTAAACAATGCAGCAAACAGGGACATGGGAATTAGAGATACAGGATGCAGCAAGATACAGAATCTCTAGTAATTTGCATCCTAGACCCATACAGAGCGGTGCGTACGCTGAGCTTTTCATGCTTACATTGCCATTAGGAGCATCACGCATAATGCAGAAGTGTAATTCTCCACTGTAGAAAACATACTTCCCACAGAAGAAAAAGATATGCTGGGATATAGACACTATAGTTCCTAGTGCCAAATCAAGGCATAACTCCGATCTCAGTGTCACCTAGGGAAAATAGGATTAAATCCAATGAACTAAATAAAGACCCTTTAATAAAAAAGGAGATCAGCTTCTGGTCCATTAGAAGGAAAAATGATCTCTGGATAGGAATGAAGGAATCTCACAGCACATTGATTAGTCAGATAGCTTTCACTCTTTGTAAAAAAAAAAAAAATCAAGTAATTCCTGTTCAACCAGAGTAATCCTATGCTCAAGGTAGTTATAGTCCCTATTACTGCTCTTATTTCAACTGGACTTTGTTGACAGTATGTTAAATTACTTTGGATTTTTCGAAGGAAAAAAGAGTCACAAAATATACTATTACTTGCACCTGTATTTGGAGTCTCTTCTGTTTTACTCCCAATGAGGAAACTACCAGTATGTATGGAAAAAGGGAAAGAAAATACCTTTGCATTGGCCATGATATATAAATACATAAATCCATTCAAAATGACCTATACTTCTTTCTGTTATATACCTGTGAATACCACTGCGTAGGGGTTCTGCTGTGCCAGCAGTGCCCAGGCAAGGCAATGGCTGCCCAGCGTGCAGGCCAGTAGTCAGGCCATTAACAAAAATCTGCTGTACCAGATAGTCTCACTGTCTATTTCTGACTGTTTCTCTGAAATCTACAGCTGTTAGAAGGATGTCTGCTACTTCCAATCATCTTCCATCAGCCAAGGTAGGTTTTTCACAGCTACATGCTAAATGTGACCTTTTCTCTTCTCTGTTTACGCAGCCTGAGCAAAAGAGGTGGCCGTGTTTGCCCACAGCATGGAGAACAGCAGCGGGACTTTTCTTCTCCCGACCTTATTGCTCCTGCTGCAGAACAAGAGCTACCCCCAAGCCTCCATCCCTCCTGCTGCCTACCAGGTGACGCAGTCACCCGTAGAATTCAGCTCCAGCAGCAACCACACCGTCTGGCAGTATAAACTCAGGCTGGGGGAAATTGCAGCAGTCAGCATGGTTTTGGGAGCCTTGTGGCTGGTTTCTGTCTTTGGAAACTCCCTTGTTTGCTTAGTCATCCGCAGGAGCAGGAGGACACAGTCCACCACCAACTATTTTGTTGTCTCCATGGCTTGTGCAGACCTTCTCATCAGTGTCGCGAGTGCACCCTTCGTGCTGCTTGAGTTTACTTACGGCGGGTGGATGCTGGGAAATGTGATGTGCAAGCTGGTAAGGTACATACAGTACCTCACCCCCGGAGTCCAGATCTACGTGCTCCTCTCCATATGCGTGGATCGCTTCTACACTATTGTCTACCCGCTGAGCTTCAAGGTGTCGAGAGGGAAAGCCAAGAAAATGATTCTGACCTCTTGGCTGTTTGATGCTGCACTTGCAGCACCAGCTTTCTTCTTCCACAGCTACAACAGCAATGACCACTGCAGCTTTTTTCTCCCCACTTCTTGGGAAGGAGCCCTCTACGGTACCATCCACCTCTTGGTGGGCTTTCTAATCCCATCCAGCCTCATTATTTTCTTCTACCAGAAGGTCATCAAGTACATCTGGAGAATAGGCACCGATGGCAGGACAGTCAGAAGGACAATGAATATTGTCCCTAGAGCAAAAGTGAAAACCATCAAGATGTTCTTAATGTTAAACTCGGTCTTCCTGCTGTCCTGGCTCCCTTTTTACATAGTACAGCTGTGGCACCCACAGGAAACAGACTACAGAAAGAGCTCCTTGCTTTTCCTGGCCATCACCTGCATCTCTTTCAGTTCTTCAGCCTCTAAGCCAGCCCTCTACTCTGTGTATAATGCCAACTTCAGAAGAGGGATGAAAGAAACTTTTTGCATGTCTGCCATGAAATGCTACAGAAGCAATGCCTACACCATCACCACCAGTTCCAGGATAGCCAAGAAAAATCACGTGGGCATCGCAGATGGCCCAGCTCCAGCCAAAACTGTCACCAAAGACTCCATCTATGATGCTTTTAACAGGGAAGCAAAGGAAAAGAAGCTTGCCTGGCCTATTCAGTCCAATCCTCCAAATACATTTGTCTAGTTGGCTTCATTGATTTCAAATATTATGATATACCCCCAAGACAAAGAGCTTTCTCTCCGTTTTGAACCAATGTATATTTACACATTTTTACCATAAATTTTACGGAAGAAAACCAGATGGTTTATTTTATTAAACGATTGATTTTCATGTGTCCAGTCTATTTCCTTGGAGTTATATTCTGCTTTTTGGAACCACTCTCCCCAAATCACCAGCATTACTTTTTTTTACACAACAGAAAAGCTCTCACACTAGCACCACGTGGGGAAAAAGAGAAAGGAAAAACACTGCTTTTTAAATCCCTGTACATCGGCCACACTCTAGAAATGCGTAAGTCCACCCAACGCCACCTACACTTCCTTTCCATTTGTCCCTCTCGGACCATTGCACGGGGGTTTTCCTTCTGGGTCAGACACCATGGGTAAGGTGTCCATACGTGGGCCGTGCTGCCATAACTCTGAGCCCACTGGCACAAGTGGTAAAATTCCCACTGCCCCGGTAGGCTCCGCGTCAGGCCAGTGCTGAATGCTTTTGCATCTTCTTTGGCGTTGTGCCCCTGCAGAGCTCTCCTGGTCCAAACCACCTGAGCAAAGCCCTCCCCTTGCCCTTGCCCTCCCCGCCTCCTTTTCATCTGCTTCTCCTCCACCCAGCCTGGGGCACCGACCCACAAGCCAAGGCTGAGCACTGCCTGAGACAAGACCTGCTGATCAAAAGGGGTCAGGCCTCTACCAGGCACCCAGGGGCTCCTCACCCCTTGCATTTAGCGTCTCTCCTGGCCTCAGGCCCTCTTTCTGCGATATGGCTCAGGCACCTGCAACAGACAGGGCTTTTTCCAAACAGAAGCAGGAAAAATGAGCTCTGCAGTCACACACTGGCCTGATGGCATCCTCCATGGGTGCATGTTGGAAGAGGCCCCTAAGAGGCGTCCCAGAGGACACAAGCTGTCAGGGAGCTGTGGCTCTTTCTCAGCCAGCGCAGGGAAAAAACCACCCAATGGGGCTGGACAGGGCTTGGGTCCTGCTAGGAAGGGCAACGGCACCAGCTCTGCTGGCCAGGGACCAGTGGGGAGGGGAAGGGTCTCCTCTGCACCCCATGACACTGATGTGCTGCTGAGAAATGGGTGCATCTGCGTGGTGGGCATGGGCACCCACACGCTGGCCCTGCAGAGGCTGACCTCCGCCTCCGCCGGCACATGGCGCGAGGCTGCGGGGCAGGGGGGCTGGTGGGAGATGTCTGGCTGACAGAGCAGCTGGGACAGCCTCATCCTACTCAGCCATTTCTTGCACAGACCTGGCTCCAGACCAGGCTCTCCTTGGAGCACCCTAATTTAGCAGCCAGGGCATGGCCAAGCATCCTCAAGTCCAGACTACCAGTGGGCATTTCACACTGAAGTTATCTTAAAAGTGTTGTGTATGCTTTGATCCCAGGTGTTAAACTAGGGAACAAAAGACAGTGTGCAGGTGTAGCTAACCCTCCACATGCTTCTGTTTCAAAATCTCAAGCTCCCCACTGTCTGTTTGAAAGACACATCCTCAGCCACAACCTCCTCAGAGAAGGATTTTTTTTTTCTTCTGCTTTTAGAGCAAATGTGGCACAGCTGGGTTCCTGTTCATGCCTGGGGCCTGAAAGTGCTGCAGTAACGAAAGGTAGTAGAACAAGAGCAGCAAGTACTACAGGGTGTATTAAACACGCTTGAGTATCTCCCTTTTCCGTCAGCAGGGAGCAGAAGCACATGTGTGGTGGAGCCCCAAGCTGACATCCTTTGAAAGAGATTTTCATGCTGGCAATGTGGGTGGGGAAACTCCTTTGTTGAGAAATATTCCTGCATGCATGGTAGAAAACTTCCTCCTCTACCACAAAAAGTATGGTTGTAAGACCCTTACTGACTGCAGGAACACTTGCAGTACATCCTTCACAAATTCAGAAATCCCCATTAAACAAGGATCTGATATTTCTCATTAAAGCCATCAGCAAAAATTCCCATGAACTGGGAGGAGAGGACCTTGAAAATGAGACGAGATCAATATTTTCCATGCAGTTCATGTTCTGAGTAGGTTGTGTCTCCCTGAAACATCACCATATGCTTAGTTTTTCTTTGCCACTTCATTACCTCTGATACATAAAATCCAATATAGTGTAAGCAGGCCAGGTCAACTTTGCAACATTATTTTTAACATTGTGTTGCAAGACTGAAACCTAACCATTATTCTTTTGGTTAGTAGTTTTATTAAAGAAATGGGACTGAGCAGAATGAGCCCTGAGGTTGCAGAGGACCACAGGGTCATGGTTACCCACCTCCCGCTAGGTCCGAGTCCAGAGAGACTCAGGATACTTGTTCCTTCAAGTCTACGTGAAGGGGAGTGCACGAGGCAGCCTTGTTATCTGTGCATCACGGACAGGACGGGCCATAACAGTCACTGTCCTGCTGGGGTGTATCCGGAGAGTCCCTGTGCAGTTGGACCCCAAAGATGCTCCAGTGGAAGTTGCCTGTGCACAGCCAGCTCCCAGCCCTCAGGCGAGGCGCAGGCCTCAGACCATTACGGATCACAAAGGAAAACACTGCTGCAGCCAACACGTGCGGGGCTGCTGCCTTCAGGCTTGCTCCATCGCTGAAGAGGAAGGGAGGGAGAGGCCGTCCCCCGCTATGGCACTAGCGCCGTGTGTCAGGCCCACAGTCCACAGCACGTACAAAACCCAAAGAAGGCACCAGTGGGTGTGAAACCACAGACCACCGTGTGACTTTCCCTCCTGTGAACTCAACTGTGTTTCCCCACCTCCCAGAAGCTGTGAAACTCCACAAGCTGGCCAGGAAAAGCTCATGACTGCCATGACACAACGACCCCATGTTGAAAGAGCTGGTAATTCTGCCCTGAATCACAGCCCTCCACTGGCCCTGTGACCGCGAGGGAAGCCCGGAGGCTGGCTTTCTTAAACCACCTTTCCGTATCAGTAAAAGCTCTGCCACAGTTATATCAGAGTAAGCATGACTCTGCCTGTACAGCTTCTTTTAGCCAAAACTACATTGTTAAAAACACATTCTCACTAACATATGCTGCGTTTGAGCTCGGAGGAATTTGCCTGTGCAGCTGTCCATCTAGGCAGTTACACTGATAAACCCTCCTGATTCCTGCTTCCATGCAATGCAGATTTCAATACGGTTAAAAAAAAATTATCCAGAGCAATCAAACAAAATCCACCACGTAAATTTCTAGCTAGCCAACAGACCCCTCTGTCTGAAAATCCAGCCTTCACCACACTGCACAAGCAAAAGGAGCAGTCATACGCCTGTACATTGGGCACTCATGCTCACTCCTACCTCCTTTTCCCCAAGTCCTGCAAATCCTCTCCAGCCCTTACTTATCCCATCGGCCGTGGCTTCTGAGCAGCCTTGTGCCTTGGTGAACACTGTGATTCCGGGAGCGGTGCCTGAGGAAAGGCTGCCCAAGCCACCCTGGCAGCTCCAGCCCTTCATCTGACACCCAGCCACTGGCAGTTTGGTCCTGTTACCGTAAGAACTGAAGACGACACCACGCTACAGCAGTGCTGAAGATGGAAAATATTTGACAGCTGAAATGGAAGCCACTCCACGCTTAGGGTCGACTTTGGAAACCTCTAATGAAATGGATGGAGACTGACAAGCGCTAACCTGGCGCCACAGCATGGAGACATCTTTTCCACACCCTCCTTCATTTTAGGACAAGTGATGGATGGGTTTGATAGCACCAACCACTAGTTACCTCCTGGTCTGCCAAGGCCCCAGAGGTGCCAGAGACTCAGGAGGAAGATCATGGATTATCTAAGCAAGAAATGAAAAATGCTGCAGGATTTGCTTGATCAATATAAACAAATCTCTCTGCACTCCCTGACAACTCTTCACTGCCAACAGATTGTTTCAGTGATACATCTAACACAACAATAAAGTTAATGAGGGGTGAGGGAACTTTAGGACTAAACCAAGCAATGCTACTCAGACAAAGGCACCCTGAAGAAACACACTTTAATGTTGGAATAGACAGCGACTGTCTTGAAGCTTCATACAGTTCTCAAAAGACCCCTGTACCCCAGAAAGGCTGGTTAGGTGCCCAGGATGCTGACCACTGCTCCTGCGTGGGTACACACGTGCTCATTAGCGTGCATGTAGTGAGGAGGAAACCAACGTACAGACAGGGACTGAAGCTGGCAGAAGTTATCAGGTCAGGTTTAGCACCGAGCAAACAAAAACTCCCTGTCCACAAACACATCTCAACCCCATCTGACAAGGAGCAGTTCTGGGAGAGAAGATTCCTGGACCTCCAGCCCATCCGCCCCTTAGTCTTAAATGCTTTCTGTGTAAGAACATGGCACAGTGCCAACCCCTAAACATTTTTTTTCCATTACCTGGATACCCATTAAATGGAAATTCCATCATTGTTGTTTACTTTTGGTATTAAGTGGCTTGCACTTGGGAATTACTATTACAAATTGTCAGATTATGTTCCCCCCTTTTTATTTCAGCAGAAAGTTGGATTTTTGGTTAAACATTTTTTAAATTCCCAGTTGAGGGGTGGGGGGCATGAGAAGCAGAGACACACACCGCTTGAACCTATTTTTCAGCCTGCCTCACAGAGGTGATAGCGAGGTGGCTATCACCCATATTTGGACTTAAGAGCTTCCATATATCCAGTTAAGAATCCCCTGAGTTTTCCCAGTATCCTCAACCAGTTTGACTTCAGAATTAACGGATGTTGATTTAGCAGTTGGTTTTCCAAAGTGTTGAATGCACACCATTGATTTTAGCTGAAATTCTGAGTGTCTAGCCTTTCTCAATATCAGATCCTTCCTGTTTATAAAGAAGAAAAAGCAGATTTGAAGTTTATTAAAGCCAAACCTGTATGCTCAAAGGAAGCATTATTAGCCCCCTAAGTGATTCTGTAAGTTAATATGCCTTTATTAGTTGTCTCTTTTCAACCTATCAAGTGTTGTGGAATAGGACATTATAAATTATATCAGCTTTATTTGAACTG